TCGTTTTGTTACATCAAAAGTATATGTTCGATTTGCCATTTTATCTTTTACTTCATTCTTTTGTAGCAATTTACGGGTATATGGAGCCCCTACTTTGAGTTCTCGCTAAGTTTACTTTCTCATCGACAGTTTCTTCAATATCATTTTCTGCCATATTATCTGTCTCATATACATCATTTATGTATGCTATTCTTTCCTTTTTCAAAGGTTTCTCATATTTCTTATACCTTTGTTTCTCATACTCTATTTGTTCCACTCTTCTCACTTTATCAGCTAATTGAGCCATGTCATTCAATGGTAAATTGACTAGTTTTTTCCTAATCGAGAATTCTAAACCTGCAGAGGCCATTCTGACTAATTCATATTCAGGAATTTGAGTGAAACATCTCGATTTCATTTGTCTAAATCGATTCAAATAATCATCTATGCTTTCATGATTGTATCTTTTTATATTCATCAAGTCGATGAGACTCACTTGAGTTTCTCCTCTAAAGAATTGCTCATGAAAATTTCTTTCCAATTGCAGCCAATTATATATCGAATTGGGTGGCAATGACGTGAACCAAGTAAAAGCACTCTTAGTCAAAGAACTAGGAAAATATTTCATTTTTAATTCTTCACTCATCGCTAAATCCCCACATTCGATCTGATATCGAGCTACATGCTCGATGGTTGATTCACCAACTTCTCCAGCAAATTTAGTGAATTTGGGTACTTTGTATCCTCGAGGTAATTCCGTCTCGAGAATCGCATTTGGGAAAGGTGACACAAAATACGTTGGATTGGGTGGTCTAAATTCCATCCCTTGTAAATTCATCCTTTGTCCCAACATGTTATTCTGATTGTGTATGTTTTGAAATCCTTCGTTCAAATTCCCATAAATGTCATTCCTCACGTGTTGGTACCCATTTCCCATATGCTGATGTTGATCGTTGTTTCTATTTCTCCTCAATAGATACGGGGGATTGATATTAGTATTCTGATTAGCATGATTTTCTATCTTCGTTTGTCGAGGCACAACTAATGCATCCCCGATTCGTGACATTTGGTCTGCTAATATCTCAAAACTAGCAGTAGTGTTTTGCACTAATGGATTTAAGACTGTAGTCAATTGTTGTGATAACATATTTACCATTTCAAAATTACTCTCATCCATTTGTTGTCTAAGTACCCCTAATGAATTACTAGATATTCCGGTACCCATGTTTTCAATAGAATCAAAATTAGATCGATGATAGTCTCTATCGAATACATGTCTCCCATGCTCTAAGTTTCCCCTATGATCTAGATTTGGAGATATCTGTTGTGTGCCTACATTCTGTCCACTCCCTGTCTGGGGAATTACTAAATTTTGAGATGTCCCTAAATTCGGAGGAATTCCAAAATTTAGCAGCATACCTAGTGTTTGGGACATTCCTAAGTTATATCTCGAATTCCTATGTGTTGAAGAAGTTCCAGCCCCACTCACATTATTAAGTGAAAACCCGGGCGGTCTTACACTCATACGTGACCCTACATATGTGGTTGTGGGATTTCCTATAGTTTGCATATTATTTGGTATCACCGTACTAGATCCTACTTGGGTGTTTGCTAATGTACCTGAATTTTGTTCACTACTCACAGGTATCGACATGCTCACAGTTGTCGATACTACAGGTATGTTCCCATTATGGTTTTGCCCCCCAGTATTTGGTGGGTGTGACCCATTTAATCCCTCACTGTTACCTTGGTTATTTGATGAACTCTGACTCATGACTCTCCCACTCCTTAATCTCATACAATTTCGAACTAACCAATTTTGTGTTTCTCAACACAAGACTCCCCTACCTGGCACGCCAATTTGTTTCTGGTGGAATTTCGATCGATTTCGGTTCTAAACAGTGTTATGGTCCTAATCGAAATCCTCCCACGTAAGTTCTTTTTACTTAGGCTAGCAGTCTGACTTTCAATCGAAAACGTGTATGAGGATCGAAAATCACAAGATATCAAGAAAGTTGTTTTTGGTATTTTGTTTTTGAAGTACTGAGAACAGTAAAAGTATCGAATCGAGAAACGGAATATTAAATTGCAAAGAAATGTAAAGTGCGAAAACCCCAATTTTGCATAATTGTAAATGACAAGGAATCGAAAATAGTGCAAATATAAATGGCAGGAAATCGAAATGTGCAGGAAATGTAAATGGCAATAAATCGAAATTGCAAGAAAAGTAAATGACAGGAAATCGAAAATACAGAAACTTAAACTTTCATTGAATTGAAATGACTAAGAATCGAGAGTACAGAAACATAAAATTACTGAATTTAAATTGCATCAAAATAAATTACCAAGGAAAATACAGAAAGCGGTAAATGTACTCAGTGAGCAAGGAAATCCAGATTGCCAGAAGCTTCATGGTGTTCGTCGTTTCTCCGGTAGACTTTTCACTACTGATTCTGTTCTCTGCCAATTTCTGCCCCCTGTTCCTTCCTCCTTTGCTCTATTTATAGGGCATCCTTCAAGCCTTCCAAGAGCAGTTAACACGACTGCTACCACGTTCTACGTGCGTATGGCAGTTTATCTTCTATAGTTTCACACGTTCTCACGATCTCCGACTTTTTCCCATGATTTCAAAACTGCTCTTTATACGTGCATTCGACTTACTTCCTTTCACGATTTGGTCAAAGTCTCGATGTCCACATTGACTTTCTTTATTCTCGATTCTGTATTTTTCGAGAACTTCGAATTGCTTACGATTCCTTTTTAACCCTGGTCTTATATGACTTAGTTTTTATTCGACAACAGTCATTTGATTATTATTCATTCGATTCTCGATTGTGCTTCTCGATGCTATATGCTACGTATTTCTAATTAGACATCGAATGAATTTTTGTTTATCTTATCGAGTCATATTTCTTTCCTTCGATTTCGATCGTTTTTCTCGATTTGCCACTAACGAGAGAGATAAAAAAATGAAAGAAAATTCATATGGAATATTACTTTTACCGTTGACCAAAGAGATAGAAGATGGTAGAAGCTCTTAAAATTTTAGGTTAGTTAGATTAAAGAAAAAGTGAGTGGAAAATAAGTGTTGAAAGTGAATGACACTTTTCTTTTTTAATAGTAAAGAAAATAATAAAAAATATTTTTATTGAATTTAAATATTTTATATTTTACTATATAAAATGACAAAAAACAAATAAAATATAAAAAATAAATATTTTAATACTATTTTTAAATAAATATATGTATAATATTATAATTATTAAATTTTAAAATTTTTTATTCCTTATTTTTATAAATGACAGGTTTCTTTCATTCCAATTTCATTTTCTTTTTTCTTTAAATTAATAATACATGTTTTACCCTATTTTATATTTTTTTTCTTTGTAATCGAAGATGAATTCACAGAAAAGGAACAAAAGTTCATAATTACAATTGTTAGAAAAGAAAATATAATTACTTTTATTTGATTCTTAAAAAATGTGAAAACTGCACCTTAAAGAATAAAATGTAATAAATAACTATTAATTAAAAAGTCAGAAGTTAGAATCGTAATTTAAATTAAATTAAATTAAATTTCGTTATATATGTATTTAATTTAATTACCATTATGAACAATTAGTTTTGGTTAACCACGGTGGATTGAAAGTTTTGAACGTTATTCTCTCCTTTGAATTAAAAGTTTAAATGCTTTAAAGCTTTATTTGGTGAAATATAGAGATAAAAGTCTTAGTTTTAATTGAATGACAGCATTAAAAGTACGAGAAATTTATGGTATAAAGAAATTAATACTAATTTTGTGTGTGTAATATGAACACAAATTTCCTATCCACTAGTCCTTCGTATATAAACAATCATTAAATATCAACCTTGTATTTCCGTGTTCATGAGATGGCATGCTCCACCCTTCATAAATTATTTATACAAAAAAATTTCATTTCTTAATCAAATATTCTAATATTGGTAAAGTTAATTTTTATTAAAGTTATCATTCATCATGATTTTTTTTAAGCACATATCAATAGTTAAGAAAGAAAATATATATAAATTATTATTAATTTTAACTCTTAATCAATATAAAATTCATAAATATACTAAAATATAACTTAATATTATCATAATTGACATGAGAGGACATCATCTTTCCTAAATAAAACATTAGTGTCTATTATAATTAAGAGTAGAGTCTCGCTCCACTCATATATATTTGTATTTGTAATCCTTCATTAAGAGATTATTTTTTAATATGATCATGAGTATACATCACTTACTATTAAGTTACTTATAGCTTCCAAGCGTTAGATCATTTTTATATACATCCTTCTTTCTTAATCCTTAATCTATTAAGACTTTCTTTAAAACATTTGTAACTCCAAAGTGATTAAGTCACTTTTATTTATCATTAATTTAAATCTATATGTATATATGTTTTGTAATGTATATATTTATAAAATGAGATTGTCATTGCTGAAATTATAATGCAATCCTAATCAAATTGATTTAAATAATGGATGATAAATTTAATATTACATGTGTTGTTAATGTTCAGGGTCGTGTTTTTTCCTTTTTAATTTCCATAAATAATCTATAATTTTTGTAGTTAAAGTTATCGAAATGTATGAAAATGATTTCAATAACTTTATGTTTTATATATTAAATTTGAGCTGAATTGATAAAATTTACACGTATTATTAAACTGACCTAATTCAATTGAAAAAATTGTTGGCTCATAGTAGGCTAGCCTAAATGGGTTGGGCCGGCTAAATTGACCACTATAATTGTTTTTTTAATTTCTCGAGTATTTAATTGATGTTTGAAGAAAACATATGGTGTAGAAATTTAGGCTAATGGTTTTGACATTTTATGTGCCAAACCATGGAGAAACAGAGGTTGAAGAAGCCACTAAACATTCTAAATTAAGAATTTGAAAACAAAATCAAGGATGAATAATTGAAGGTGATGAGCAAGAGCCATTTGGCAATTGAAACAAACTTCAATGAACCCAAACTAAGAAGGGAAAGTTTGCTCTATATGTAGCATGGAGCATGGGGGACCATAACTCCAAACCGCACCTGTATGCTAAAAATGTTTTGCTCTTCAACAATTTAGCTTACTCATCACTGCCCCCAGAGCCACCCAACCTGGATTCAACCATTAGTGCACACCATTGGTTCTTACATCTGTTGGCTAAGATCACATTATCAGGACCATCAGAGCTTGTATGATGGTTAGCATTATGCTGGAATAAACTACTTCTCAATTGGAAATATCAGTCAACTTATCCTTAAAGTGACATCTTTCGAATCCTTATTTTTTATAATTTGAAATTGTCAGATTACCATAGCTTGGTAACATCAAGAATTAAAAAGCTGTTGATGATTTCAAGGACTAAATTTGAACTTCTAAAATTACAATGACTAGGGTAGGACTAATATGACGTATTATTCTTAATGATGAAACAATCTTTCTATAAATAATTGTGTCAAGCAGCTGAAATATGAGCTGATGAATAATCAAAATATAACTTCAAAATTGTGAACCAAAATGACAAATGATAGGTAAAACTTATTGTTCTGACATTTAATAAATACAAGATATCTGAATAAAATTTTGAAATTAGTATTCTCTCCTACTACGGGCAACATCACTCGCAATATCATCATCTTGTTCACACTGGTCCAAGAATTTTTTATAAGCAGGTTTACGAGCAACAACAAGACGTAGGTACTTCGCGGCTTCGGCCTTTTGTCCCGCATCAAATAGAGTGCTGCATACCCAACAAATCAAATCCAATGAGAAAGATGGAAATAGCAGTGTTTGAAGAGGAATTTTCTTCACTAAACTAAGGTAATTAGCCTAAATTGTACCTGGCAAGCAAGAGTAACCCATCAAAATAATAGCCTTTGCTTGTAGGATCTTCTGGCTCCTCCATATTTGCTACTCTTTCAAAGTGTGCCCGTCCTTCGTCCCTCTTTCCCTGTCGTAAGGAAAATTGAAGAAAAATGAAAATTATAGCAAATCCTATTAAAGATCTAGAAGCTTCCAATATTGTCATGCTTATTTACCTGCCAATTGTTAGAAAACACCTACACTTAGACTGCCAAGTCAACACCAAAACAACAATCAAGCCTTTTCTCACTAAGTGGAATAGGTTAAATTAGATAAATTATTGCCTTCTGGAACCTTCATAATTGTTTCTCAAACCGTTTTAATCAGTCTCTCGCTGCCTCTAGCTACTGGGTTTTCTTCAGATATTTTCCACACAGGTAATTTTTGAAACAGTTGCTACCACAATTATTTCCCTAATACATTCAATTCTTATCCTATCTCATCTAGTATATCACTCTACAAAGCAGCATTCCCATCTCAACTACAGAGTTTATCCTTTTGTTAACTTTTTGTTCATCGACATTCAGTTCCATATAATCAGTTCTTGTGGTTCCACTCAAGTCAGACACAAACTGCTTTTAAAACACAAACCAACTTTCAGAATCTGTTCTTTAGGAGGAATAAAGAGGTGCAATTTTCACTTAGGTTTGGGCACGCAAGATACACATTTGACGCACAACACAAACTATCTAAAGATTCCCTCCATCAAATGCATACCCAAATCGTTTTTGAACATATATCTAAAACCCTGTCAAGACAAATGTTTGCTTTGAGAACAAATTGAAGTATGTGTTTAACCTGTCGTTCGCAGGCAATTCCAGCCCACTGGGATGAAAGAATCAAAAGATCCAGTTCTTCCGCATCAGTTGGATATCCAGCAAAAGAAAGCTGATGAAAAATCAGAAAATAATCACGGATTGAAAGCACAAACTAAGTGAAATGAGACAAGAGTTTCTGTTGGAAACAAAAACGAAAAACAGCAATGCAGAACATAATAGTTCACAGAGGAACAATTACTTGACATTGTAGATAAAACCAGCAAAACAGTGAAAAACCACATGAAGGCAACTATGAATTCATACTTTTGATATTGCACGCTCAAAGTACTCTTTAGCTTCATCATTCACATGCTTTAGTAATAGAATCCGTCCCATCAATACTAAAGCTCGAACATATTCAGGGTCCTTCTCAAGGGCTAGTCTGTACATTAATGCAATGCATCGTCAACCAGTGACAAAGCATGAAAACATAAGAAAGGGTCTCCTTTCCAATTTTTCTCCCCTCATTTTGAACAAACTAAAAACGAGACCACAACTTACTTTAGTAAGGGAATTGCACTTTCTTTATCCTCACTGGATAGAAATGGGACTGCAAGCTGTAAACAATCAAACCATTAATCACATCCTAAAAGCCAATATGATTTTAATGACATATCACGTCATATATAATATATTCTCATGTTCCTTTTCACTCACAGTAGTCAGTTCTTTAGGGGACATCTCCTCTATAGGTATTCTATGCCATTTTTCAGGTGAACTCAGAGGACTTTTTTCTGGAGAAACAGTTCCCTTGATAGCTGCTGTTGGAATATTATCTTGTAACCCTATTGAAGGAGCTGTTTTAGAAGCACTAATTTTCTCAGAAGCTACCTTTTGACTATTCTTGTCTTGTAACCCCAACATTGCAAGGACAGAAGGATGTGTAAGGGTTATGTGCTGCAAAGTTAATCAGTTGTTGGATCAAATTTAAGAGTTAGTACAATAGTGGTTCAAACTAAAATAAACTAAAGATGCACAAGGTTTTCCTACTTACCTGAATGAGGGTAAGAGAACTATTGGTAACCCAATAGAGTTGGCTCCCCTACAAGAGTACATTAGAGCAGAATGTTATTACAACCTTCATGATGAAAGGGCATAACTTTACCATAAAATAAATTTGGAACAAAAAATGAGAGATGCAATAGGAATGCAGCAGTGAAGTGATATTTACTAATCTCTTTGAAAATTATTAAAAAAAATTATAACATAACGTTCCCTCTTATCTTTGACCAGGGAAATTAACCTACTAGTGTGAGTTCAGAAACTTTGACAAAATCATATTCAAAAATAAATTCTAGGTTTCTTTAACCTTCAGCAATCACACCTCCGGTGTCTACAGATATCTTGCATGCCATATCATTTAGAAAGAAGATACTTCCAGGGTGTAGTTTTATTCATAAAAATACTCAGCCACTTCCGTTTTTTTTTTTTTTTACTTTCATTAGTTAGAACTGAAGTCTACGAATCCATGAATAAACCATCTCTTTTGGATGGTCGACACTCTAGAATCATAAATTGTTAGAATGCATTATAAAAGATGTCACCTAGCACCTTGAAAGAGAGTTTAAAAAGAAAGTGCACTTAGCCCAAAAACGCAACCAATAAGAACATGTCATAGTCAGAGAAAAAAAAATGGTATCCTACATTAACATCGTAGCAACACAACACAAAAGGATTAAAGTTACCTGAGGAATGCAAAAGCCCATGAAAGCAATAGGCAATGTTAGAAAGTCCAAGTATCGCTTATAATACTGCAACAACAAAAGAATCCCTCAGGTAACAGGGAAGTTACTTTATTTTAATTCAATGATTAGAATAAATTCCCTTATATCACAACATATAAACAATATTCCTAAATGCTTAGTAAAATGAAATGAGTAGACTCATATCAACGGAAATGTATAACTATAAGAATCAAGTATCAACACCATTTTTGCCCATAAACATGCAATACAATAGTAAGACATTAAAAGTACTGGAGAAGTTATACTCACTTTGGCTAATAAGTCAAAAATACCCCTTGTCTCTGCAACCACAGGTTTCCCAAAGGATCTCTGATAAATCAATAAACACAAATTAGTACACATTCTATGCCTGACTCATCCTGCCCCCCTTGCAAAAAGAAAGAAAGAATAAAGGTATAAAAGTATATGCTAAACAAGTCCCAACCAGAAAGCAAGAAATCCATCCCACTATATTATAAACTATGATCTGAATATGTTTTATAGCACATGGAATATTTGGGACTGTCTATTTTCAAAAAACTTTTCCTCTTTCATTTTGTGTTTCACTTTTAATTTCAAAATAGTCACCTTCTTTTAATTTTGTTTCTCTTAAAAAAGTTGAATAGAAAATATGGTGGTTTTCTTGTAATTAAAAGCGAAAATAGAAAGCACTATCTAAAACCAAACTACCTTAGTTATTCACTTATTATACTTTATGTTATGTTATTTTATTGATAACACCATACACAATCAATGTTGCTTGTTCAATGAATGAGATAAGAAGTTAAAAACTAATACCAAGTTTGATTTATTATTATTGGTAGAATAACAGAGCCAGTAGGCCAACAATACATATCGATTGTGACTTGATTAATCACTGGCCATTAACCAGTTGATTTGGATCCATCAACTTTGCCAGCTATTTTGGTTTTGGTAGTTCTACCTTTATTACATTACCCAGCCCAAAGTATCTAATTCAGACACTTGAGTCAACTACATCCAACCCTAAGAGGGTTGCTGCCACAACCGAATGATAAACTCTGATTCGTCTTTTTAACAAAACAAAATCTGTGTCATGATAAAGGGATGACTTTAATGCATATTGGCATGAATATTGGGGTATGACAGCGGAAGGTAACAAGAAACATGATTTTCAGGTTTATACCCCTCATGTATATGGATTCATACTCCATTACCTGAACATTGATGTAGTGCAAACCAGCAATCAGAAAAGGAAAGATGAACCCTGAATAACCGTGAGAGAGTTCTGTTAAATTCTGGAACCATAAAGCACCGCCCTGCAACATATTTAACAAGTTTAAATTTTTAGCAACTATGAGTTTCTGTATGCATATGTTGTGTGCTCCTTTCAACACTCAACACTATTTCTGGCATTATGAAGTTTTAGGTACACAAGGAGGAAGAGAGATTGAAATACTAAATTGATATTAGGTTAAATGTATTACAATGTATTGATTAGTTCATAAAACCTAGAGTATGCCATCTTATTTATTCTAATCATAATCTGTTAGGATTCTCAATTGACTAGGATAAAATACTTGATGTGGTACTTAAACCTTGAGGCTCTCCCACCTAATGGACTAGTCATCTGGGTTAGGCTCTCTTCTTGTGCTTAAGTCCTAACAATTGGTGCTTTCATTGAGAGTTGGTGCTTTATTGGGTTAGGCTAAATTAAGGTGTAAACTGAATACTAACAAATAGTTGAGTGAAGCCAGTCACAAGGAGAAGAGCCAGTGTCAATAGAGTGAAACCGCCATGGATGTCAGCCTTAAATAGGGTGCCAATGTTAGAAGTTCCACATTGAGTAAGAAGCTACTTGAAGTGGTACTTAAGCCTTGTGGCTCTCCCACCTAATGGACCAGTCTTTTGGGTTAAGCTCTCTCTTGTGCTTAATTCCTAACTTAAACGAGCTAGTGAGGGAAAGAAATCATGATCAGGAAATATGTTAATCAATCCTAGAGATAAAATGGAAATAGGAACTAATCTAAGAGGTATATTTACTGATAGATATGATTAGATATTAGTTGATATTGTTTGATATTGTTGAGATATTGTTAGATATTGTTAATCACAATATCAAATAATATCTTTTTATTTACCCTATTTGTATTCTGTTACTCTTTTGAGGAGTACCTTTCTTTATTATAAATACACTGCCCTATGTGTGGTAAATACATAAGGGAAAATTAACCCTATATTCAACATGGTATCAAGAGCTTAAGGTCTCTTGGGATTTTTTTTCGGCTCTGCCACTGAACCTGCAGCTGTCGCCGCCTCCATTGCCGCCGCCGTCGCCACCACCGTCTGCCGCCGCCGCCATCGCCAGAGTAGCAGTTTGGACCGCCGAGCACAGGGTTTTGCTCGCCTCCTCCGTGCGACCTCCACCGTGGAAGTTTCGCGGTCATCGGAGCAGCCACGCTCCCTCACGCGCCTCCCGAAGCCGCGCCCCCTTCTCCCGTTCCGCCGCGCGTGGCGGCGCGTCTCGCCGCCGTTCAGGCCGCCAATCTTTGCGCCGGCGTCGCCTCCTTCTCCTCTCTCTGGATCTGTCCTCGCTGCTCCAATCGGACCTCTTTGGTGTTTTAGGGTTTTTCTCTCTCTTCCTCCATGGCATCTTCCGCTGCCACTTCCAATTCTGAAGTTACCTCCGTCGGCTCGGTGGGTCTCGAGCAATCTGTTTTTACTAATTATGTCAATGTGAATTTACCCATTGATAAATTAGATGGTACGAATTATGCAACTTGGGCATCTGATATTAGACTTTGGCTTGAGAGTCGGGGGTATGTTGATCATCTTACTACCAAGGTAGATGATGTTCCTTCCAATGATCGTGTCCGTTGGAAGAAAGTTGATGCTCATATATGTATGGTTCTCAAGAATACCATCCAATCTTCTTTAAAACAAATTTTTCGATCGTATGGCACATGTTATGACGTTTGGGAACAAGCCAAATTATTATACACCAATGACACTCAACGTCTTTATGGTGTTTGTTACAATCTTCTTGATGTTATTGCTCCTCGAGATAAGGATCCTGTGGCGGATTATGTGGGTAAGATCCATGCTCTTCTCCATGAATTTAATGAGTTATTACCCCTGCCTCGACTCCTGCCCAAGAATTAGAGCAACGATCAAAGTTTTTCATGGTTTTGATGTTACACGGACTTGCCGATAAATATGCCCTCGTTCGTGACCGGATTTTGGGTTCCCCTGTTACACCCAGTTTACCGCTACCAGTTCCTCCCTTTTGCGGGTGCCATGTAAACCTCTCAATATTCCCCCTGTAGTTTCTAATGATTCATCTCGCCTTGGCCTCTCACCGTGATGATCGTAATCGCTCTCACAAGCCAGGCAAAGGGCGTGTCAAGTGTGACCATTGTGGCAAACTAGGCCACAAAATTGACAAATGTTATGCTTTACATGGTTATCCTCGCCGATCTGCTGCAGCTTGCTCGGACCGATTCTTCCGCACAATCCTCTCGCTGTGGATCCTCCTTCGTCTGTACCTTCGAACAAATCTCGCTATCTTCAATGATTTTCTTCAATGGTATGAGGATCGAAAGCCCTCCAGGCTCCACTACTTCGTTGTCCACACAGTACATCTTTTCGTTGGTCCGACTCACTCTTCTTCTATTGGCCCTTGGGTTCTTGACTCAGGCGCCACCGATCACATCACCGGTAACAAATCCTTATTTTCCTCTTTCACTTCTTCTCATAATTTACCCTCTCGTTACAATGGCTAATGGGTCTACAACTTTAGCTCATGGTATTGGAACGGTTACTCTTTTTCCCTCGTTGTCCATTGATAATGTTTTGTATGTACCCGGTCCCCCTTTAACTTATTATCCATTAGCCGTCTAACTCGATCTCTTGATTGTGTTATCTCTTTTACCAAAACTTTTGTTTCCCTACAGGACCGGAGCTCGCAAAGAGTGATTGGCACCGGATGTGAGTCACATGGACTTTATTATCTTCAACCTTCTCCACATGTTGGCACGCTTATGGAGTCTCCTTCTCTCCTTCATGCTCAGCTTGGTCACCCCGATCTGCGCAAATTACAACAACTTGTTCCCAGCCTTATCCCAGCTTGTCCAATTTGGTGTGTGAGTCCCGTCAGTTAGGCAAACATAGTCGTACTTCCTTTTCTCGTAGTGTTTCCCAGACGTGCCTCATCCCCCTTTGCCTTAGTTCACTCGACATTTGGGGACCCAGTCGTGTTAAGTCTAATTTAGGTTTTCAATATTTTGTTACTTTTATTGATGATTTCTCTCGTTGTACTTGGTTATTTTTAATGAAAAATCGTTCTGAGTTGTTTTCTATATTCCAAAACTTTTATCATGAAATTAAAAATCAATTTGGTGTCTCTATTCAAACTTTTCAAAGTGATAATGGCCGTGAATATCTTTCAAACTCGTTTAAACAATTTATGGCTTCTCATGGCATTCTTCATCAAACTTCCTGTGCTTATACCCCTCAACAAAATGGGGTGGCTAAGCGCAAGAATAGACACCTTATTGAAACAACCCGTACTCTTTTAATTCATGGTGAGGTTCCTCAACATTTTTGGGGTGATGTCGTTCTTACCGCTCGTTATCTTATTAATCGTATGCCCTCTTCGGTTTTAGATAACAAAATTCCCCATTCTATTTTATTTCCTTATGACACTCTCCATCCTTTACCTCTCGAAGGTTTTTGGGTCTACCTGTTTTGTCCACAATTTTGATCCTGGTCATGATAAGTTATCTCCTCGATCACACAAATGTGTTTTCTTAGGATTTACTCGATCCCAAAAAGGATACAAGTGTTTTTCTCCTTCTCTTAATCGCTATTTTGTGTCTCGTCGATGTCACCTTCAATGAGTGTTCCTTTTACTTTAAGGACCCTTCCCTACCTGCTGAGTCTCCATCTCGCTACAGTTCTCATTCCTGTTCTCATTGATCCTTATGTTGAGGACCATCCACCATTACCCCCTCCTCCTCCACCACCCCTTCGGGTTTATAGTCGCGAGACCTCGCCCACAACAGACGCCACATGACTCACTCTCGGTGCCAAATACTCGCCTCCTCCGGTTCCGTCCACGAGTCCGACCTTCCTATTGCCCTTCGTAAAGGTACGCGTTCTACTCGTAATCCTTCTCCACATTATACCGCTTTAAGTTATCATCGAATTTCTTTACCATTTTATACCTGTCTCTCGTCTATTTCTTCTGTGTCTATTCCTAAATCTATCTCTGAAGTCTTAGCCCACCCTGGTTGGCGTCAGGCCATGCTAGATGAACTCGGTGCTCTTCAGACTAGTGGAACCTGGACGCTTGTCCCATTACCATCTGGAAAATCTGTTGTTGGTTGCAGGTGGGTCTTCGCTATCAAGGTTGGTCCTGATGGTACTATTGATCGCCTCAAAGCTCGCCTTGTAGCCAAAGGCTATACCCAAATTTTTGGGTTGGATTATGGTGATACTTTCTCTCCACCGGCAAAGATGGCTTCGTTCGTTTATTCATTGCCATGGTCGCTATTCAACAATGGCCTCTTTATCAACTCGGATGTCAAAAATGCTTTCTTGAATGGCGATTTGCAAGAAGAGATTTATATGGAGCAACCTCCCGGATTTGTTGCTCGAGGGAGTCTTCTGGATTGGTATGTCGTCTTCGCAAATCTTTATATGGCCTAAAACAGTCTCCTAGGGCCTGGTTTGGAAAATTTAGCGACGTTGTTCAACAATTTGGCATGACTAGAAGTGAGGCGAGACCACTCAGTCTTTTACCGATCACTCGAATGCTGGATGTATCTATTTGATAGTGTATGTCGATGACATTGTTCTTACAGGTAGTGACCATCATGGCATCTCTCCGATGAAACAACACCTTTGCCACCATTTTCAAACCAAAGATCTTGGCAAACTCGGATATTTCTTGGGTATTGAGGTAGCACAATCTACCGATGGCATTGTTATATCTCAAAGAAAGTATGCATTGGATATTTTGGAGGAAACTGGGTTGATGAATTCAAAGCCTGTTGACACACCCATGGATCCTAATACCAAACTCTTGCCAAATCGGGGGAGCCAATGTCGGATCCTGAACGAGTATAGAAGATTAGTTGGAAAATTAAATTATCTTACGATTACTCGCCTCGACATTTCCTTTGCGATCAGTATGGTGAGTCAATTCCTCAATTCTCCTTGTCAAGATCATTGGAATGCGATCATCCGTATATTGAAGTACATCAAAAAGTCTCCTGGAAAAGGTTTGGTGTATGACTCCCATAATCATACAAGAGTTGTCTCGCTATTCGGATGTCGATTAGGCAGGATCTCCCTCGATAGAAGATCTACATCCGGGTATTGTGTTTCCATTGGTGGTAACTTGATCTCATGGAAAAGTAAGAAACAAAGTGTTGTGGCAAGATCCGGTGCGTAAGCGAGTATAGAGCTATGGCCTCAACTACTCGTGAACTTATTTGGCTCAAGCAATTGCTTAAAGAGCTACAATTTGGAGATGTCACTCAAATGACACTAGTGTGTGACAATCAGTCGCTCTCCATATAAGCTCTAATCCTGTCTTTCATGAGAGAACTAAACACATTGAGATTGACTCGCCATTTTATTCGGGAAAAGATTATGTCCGGAGACATCAAGACTGAGTTCGTTAACTCATGTGATCAATTAGCGAGATATTTTCACTAAGTCTTTACTGGGACCTAGGATGGATTATCTTTGTACCAAGCTAGGCACATACGATTTGTATGCTCCAGCTTGAGGGGGAGTGTTAGATATGATTAGATATTAGTTGATATTGTTTGATATTGTTGAGATATTGTTAGATATTGTTAATCACAATATCAAATAATATCTTTTTATTTACCCTATTTGTATTCTGTTACTCTTTTGAGGAGTACCTTTCTTTATTATAAATACACTGCCCTATGTGTGGTAAATACATAAGGGGAAATTAACCCTATATTCAACATCTACGATAGGACAAAATACTGTCAACAACTATGATGTAGCTTCGCTACAACAATAAAATTATGATATAGCTTTCCTACAACAATAAAATTTCCACATGTTAACGTCCATAACTTAGATGGCATCATTAGAGCTAACTTCTATCATTCTAATCCTTCTGATCCATTGAGCCAAACCTTTTGTGAGATACATTCTCATAATTTCCATGGAACTTATGCTCAGAAGATATAAAGATACATAAAAGTTAGTGCATTACACAATCAAAACCAGGGTAACCATTCAGTGACATCTTCCTTATGCTAATCATCCACAGGAAAAAGCACGGAACCTGTAGAAAAATAAAAGACCATAAGTCAAAATTCCGCTGAAATGTTTGTGAAGCATTGTTATGATCATGTACTTTTCTCTTCCATATATGGCTTATTCTGATTGCTGATTATACAGTAAAATTAGTTTATACCACTTTCTTTACAGCATTCTTCTAAACTCCAGTTAACACTAACAGGAAGGAGGCAAAATTTCGGTAGCTTCCCCTCCAACCAAGCTTTTTGTTTTACCACAAACTAAAAGCTAACAGTTAAACAATTCAGTTATGACAATAGTTACGAAAAATAATTCCTTTTAGATCAAATGAACCTCTTTGACAGGTTTCAGATTCCAGCAGCTCGTGAATGTTCCCTCTGATATAGAAAGCACCATCAAAAGTTTTACTGAAAAGCTTGAACAGAGTTACTCACTAATTTTCTTTGGTTTAGGTTGTAAAGTTATGTCACAAGGTAATGTAAAGTCGTCAGGAATAATAGGTAATAAATTCTAACACCATATCATTCCAAACTTTTTCAAAATGGCAATGCAGAAACTAAAACTCTGTCATAAGTCATGAAGGAAGAAGTTTAATTTTTAGGTGAACCAGAATGATTGATTCAAAAAAAATATTGTATTCATGAGGAGTGGCTGCTTTCTTTTCCTTCTCAGATTTTAAACATTCTTTACGTAGCTAGCACTGCCTTTTGACGGGCACTAAAGGTTGCCCCCCACAATTTATAGATCACACATGTGAATTTCGTTCATCCTTGTCACAAAACAGCTTTCCTAGTAGGAGGCTGCTTTTGGCTGTGATATTGTTAGTAAAGAAAACTTGGGGAGAAGAAGGCAAAATTCATTACAGTAGGATTCATCAGCAACTTTTCCAATAAAGCTAGATATATCACCTGTACAATGAATGGTACCAACGGCCACAAATAAGAGGGGCATCCAATCGCTTTTCTCTTCTTCTGGAAGAATAGAAACTGACGAATATAACTCTTTCCTGAGAAAGGTGGTGGGAATGGAGGAGGCACTTTAAGAATTGAAAAATATTAATAACAATTTTAAGTACATAAACTAGAAGTGGAGAAAAGGGAAAAGATATCTTGTACACGTAAGATTTTTAGGAAGTATCCACTCCCAATTTCTAATCACAAAAAGATAAAAACACACTTTAAAGATAACAAATAGTTTCACAACAACATTAAATGATCCAGAAACAAAGAGGCTCATGTGAATACAAGCACAAAAACACAATCTATATGTCGATTACACAACATTTGCACAGAGTGGTAGCAAAAGGTTGGATGAAAAGTGATCCAGTGCAACAGAAGTGAAGAAAAAAGACATTTCAATAACTACGATCAAAGCTAGATTAGAAAATAATGTTACACGAGTGTGACTTGTATAAGATGACCAAGCAAACAAGTGAACAAGCATCCAATGAGAACAATCAATACTAACTAAGTACTAATAACCCAATTCTAATTTTTAAACAAACATTTGGAGCACCAAACGCTTCATACAACAACAAAGATTAAAGAAGAAACAAATTAACCAACCAAACAGAACCAATTTATTCATTTATTTTTTTAATTTTTTTTCAATTAAATTGAATAATTAGAACTAATCCGAGTAATGCATATGATACTCACATTTAGGAAAAAACTCTCCAATCGTTTTCAGCTTGTGAAGTGTTAAAACCAGAGGAAAAAGAATAGCAATTCTGAGAGCTAGAGTAGAAGAAACTATAGTTAACCACCTGAAATTAAACAACTGGATTAACACGGTCGGTTCAGAATACAGATTAACAAGTGTTATAGTAATGCATTATCAACACGAAAGACGAGGCCAAGAAGCATACCAAGGAAATCCAGAAAGCTCGTGGAACGAATCGAGAATCGAAATGAGCGCGCGAACGGGGAAAATGGCGTCGTCTTCACCGCCGCCACCGGTATCCGTGATCACTTTCAGAAACTCCGAGTTAACCAGCGAGTCGACACCTAACGAGTTCAACTCCGATTCGCGGTCGTCGGAAGAGCGAGTGGAGAAAGCGCGTGAGCGGAACGCGTCGAGAAAAGCAAGGGTTGGAGAGGGAGATAAGGCGGGAGCGGGAACTGGAAAAGGGCGTTGAGAGGAGACGACACGTGGAAAATATAGGAGAGAGAGGGAGGAGGAAGACCGAGCGCGGCGGAGGCGAGAAAAGAACGCCGCCGCGGTCACCATCGGCGGCGAAAGGAAGCACAGCGAGGACTGTAGTGTATCTTTGCTTGCTGCAAACTTAAGTTCCGAGATACGACTATTATCTGTAAATTTTAATTATATTGAGTAAACACTTAACACGCTGTTTAATTGAATTATCAATGTTTTAAATTTTTTTCAAGGTAAAATTACTTTTTATTATTTTTTTCACTATATTATTATTATTATTTTTACTTAGTTTGGGTAAAATTGAATTAATAGTTTTAATATTCTAACCTAACTTATTTTAATTAATTAGGTTTGATACCACGAACATGGGTAGAAATAAGGTAGTACGAGGTAGATCACAAAGTTTTTTAGTTTACCTTTCTTTCATTTCGTCAAAAATTCTACGAGATTGCCCAATCCTCACACAAAAAATAGCATTATATAACCAGGATCGTTGACTTTATTGTTTAGGATTTTGAGTTTTTGTTTGTAGATGTAACGAGAATTTGAATTTTATTTTTTTATTCAGGATTCTTTAGTTATTAGATATATTATTACTGAATTAATATACATTAAAAATATTTATATAAAATATCTTCTAATTTATATCACCTACAAATCTTATAATATTGAAACATTAAATTTGTATACTCTAAATTTATTATTAACCTTAAAAAAATAAAGATTTACTAGAAATTAAAAAATAAAAATAAACTTTGTGGAGTTTAAAAAGCAGGCCTGTTCCTGGACCTCTCTATAAAAGAACCCAAGCACCGAATTTTGGTTTAAAAGATAGGCGGCACATGACACGTGCGAGAGACACGCTTACAAACGAAAACATTTTTTGTTTTGTTTTAAGAAATTATTGTTATTATATACTGGTTATTATTAATGAAATTGGTGTTTTCCATATTTTGTCGTTGCGGAGAGAGGACGGAAACAGCAGAGAGATTCGAGGATCTGGTGTCCTTCTTCCTTCTCTTGCTTTTTGTTGTTGAGACCAATTCTTTAATCACCATTGTCTCTCTCTCACACCGATAATTCAAGCCATCCATCACCATTTTTCTCTTTCTTTATTTTTTATTATTATTTTGGAATGAATGAATGAGTACAAAAACACCGCCATCGCTCTTATCTCTCACCATTGACTCAACCGTCCTCAATCTCTCCGACATCACCGATCTCTCCTCAATCCCTGATCACATCCTCCTCGACCTCTTTCTGGTACTTTTCTTATTACCATCTCTCTCGCTTTTTCTCAATCATCATACTCGTACTTTGAGTAACTAAGGTTTTGCTTTTATACCCTTTTTTCATTTTTTTTTATTCTGCATGATTGGGACCTCCCCTTTTACTTTAATTATTGTCCCGTCTTTAGATCTCCCATAAAAATCAATTCTTGCCTTGTTGCATTCGTATTGTTTGAATGAGTGAAGGAAGGTTGTTCAGCTGCATGCTCTTTTGTCTTAGTTTTCTTGTGACTTTTGAAAGAATAAAACTTCGAATTTGTTATTTAAGGAATGTTCTCGTATCAGAATTTTAGTTTCGTTTCGTCTGTCATATGTAGTTGTTTCACGCTGTTTTCTTTTATGTGAGTTATCAAAGTGAAATTCTAGTTCTGATTATAGCTCAATAGAATGTACTTGAGGGATTGGGTATTGGTTTTGTACTTTCTGAAAATTCCAATGATTTGTGTTATGCAAATTATGAAGCAAATCTCATTCATGACTGTTACGAGGTTGAATTGATGGTTATGTTGTCTTTTGTATTTTTATTTTGGGGGGTGGTTATCCTAGGGTCAGATTTTCCTTTTCTTTCTCCTTTCTTGTTCCGGATGTCAAATTTTAAAATTAATTTCCCCTGTTGCTGCAAATGTTGGTTTGGTTCTTAGCTGGATCAAACAACCGTTTCATAATCGGGATGGAAATCGGGAAATATCAAATATTATGGATCTGGTTTCAATCATTTTGTTGTGTACATATATTTACGACCTTCCGATCTGCCCTAAAGTTTTATTCTTTCACTATCATTCGGCATCCTTACTGTATAACATATGGTTTTCATGAACAGAGAATATTAAGAGCTGGGAAATTGACTGAGAAAGTTCTGAAACTGCTCATAGCAACTGGTAATGATGAAGTCAAGTCCCTTATTCAGGCACTCAATATCCAACATATTGTGACCCCTCCTGTGCTTCCCACCAGTGAGTTATCTTAAGATTTTATCTGATACGTAAAGTAGCTAATCCTGTAGTGACAAATGTTTCTTTTCTGACATTTGAATATCTCTAAGTACAGGGTGTTCAGGTTCAATTTTAGATCCATTTTAAAATAAGGTTAAACTACTGTCAGCACTAAGGAGGCAAAACAAGACTTTTAGTTTGTGAGATTGTCTGTGTTCTGAACCTTGCAAGATGTCTCAAGCAGTTATCGATGATAATGAAGTAGACATTGTGATTGGTGCACTCCGCTCTGACCTCACAACCTTTATGAATGAATGGAGGCCAATTTTCTCCCGCTTTCACCTGATAATAATAAAAGATCCTGACCTGAAAGAAGAACTAAAAATTCCTGAAGGATTCAGTGCGGATGTGTATGCAAAGGCTGATATCGAGCAAGTGGTGGGTTCTTCTATTCGCTTCACTGGCTACTCTTGCAGATATTTTGGCTTTCTAATTTCACGGAAAAAGTTTGTTGTCTGCATTGACGATGATTGTGTTCCTGCAAAAGATAATGCGGGGTATTTGGTGGATGCTGTGGCTCAGCATGTTTCGAACCTCCAGACTCCTGCCACCCCATTCTTCTTCAATACTCTATATGATCCATTCCGTAAGGGTGCAGATTTTGTTCGTGGTTACCCGTTTAGCCTGCGAGAAGGGGTTGTTTGTGCTCTGTCATGTGGGTTATGGCTCAATATGGCTGACCTTGATGCTCCAACGCAAGCTCTGAAGCCATCACAGAGGAATTTGCGATATGTAGATGCAGTTTTAACTGTTCCTGCTAGAGCCTTGGCGCCGTTGAGCGGAATCAACATTGCCTTTAATCGTCAAGCTATTGGTCCAGCAATAGGCCCGGCATTGAGGCTGTCAGGGGAAGGGAAATTAAGATGGGAAACTGTAGAAGACATATGGTGTGGAATGTGTGTGAAAGTCATATGTGACCACCTAGGCCTTGGTGTGAAAAGTGGGTTACCCTATGTTTGGAGAACAGAAAGGGGTAATGCAGTGGAGAGCTTGAAGAAAGAGTGGGAAGGAGTGAAATTGATGGAGGATGTGGTTCCTTTCTTTCAATCATTAAAGTTGCCACAATCAGCAACTACAGCAGAGGATTGTGTGGTTGAGATGGCCAAAACAGTGAAGGAGCAACTTGGGAAGGTTGATCCTATGTTTTCCCAGGCTGCTGAAGCCATGGTAGAGTGGGTCAAGCTCTGGAAGACAGTTGCATCTGCTTGAAGCTCCTGAGAACTTGAGGAACCTTGTAGGTTCTCTGGTGCCTCTCATATATTTCTTTATTTTGTTTGACTAATTTATGTCTTCTTTTTTTCCGGTTTGTTATGAACTAAGCTTACATTTTACCTGACACAGTTAGACTAAAGGTCGAATAAAATTGTGATAGTACATTACTTATTGGCTTTGTGACAATTGAATAAATGCTTTGTCTTGCTTTATAAATAATTGGTCTTTAAAGATGATTCCGAATTTGTTTCTTCTATATAACCTCTCTTCAAGCTGTGTTTGTAGCCGCCTATTTATTCTTTATATGGATTCAAAACTGAGTTCTCGTGTTTGTTTTCATTTATGTGAATTTGAAGAAAAAAGAAGTAACTTTTCCATTTCTTCATATTTAGGTTATAAATTATTAATTCAATGCTAATCATCCATCGTGTTCTAAAGAAGCAAAAACCTTTATAAATATGTATGAGATCATTAAAAAAAATAAAAATCACATGAACAGCAACAAGTGCTCCAAGAATTTTTCATTCAGTGAAAGTTTCTTACTAACACAACGATTTATTATATTCTATAAATTATGTTTCTTTTTTCTAATTCCGTTACAAATTATAAAAAAAATAGAAATAAAAATTCAATTACCATTATTCTAAGAATTGGACAGATTAATTGGTTAAACTGAAATAATCGACAACCAATGAAAAAATTGATTTGTCATTTCTAAAAAAATCAAATAAATTAAAAAAATAGTTAAGATCAAAAGTTTTAAAAAATTAAAAAAAAAATAGTTGTTTTAGTATATTTTTATTTTATTTTTATCATCATTTGTGTTTTTTTTCTATTGGATTTTATATTTTATAATTTTATTATTATAATTTTTTAAATTTATTATTATCATTAAATTTATTGTATATTTATTATGTTATTAAATGATATTATTTTATTATATTACGATTAAATACTTAAATTTTGAATATATACATCAGTGTCTGATTAGGTTTAAAAATATTGCGTAGGAGTTTGGTTATATGATTAACATTGTAATAACTGAAATGGAGAAAACAAGATAGGTTAAAAAAAAAGAAAAATAAACACTGAACAAGTATGATTGTACGTTATGCAGTTAAAAATAAGCATATTTTTTAATAAAAATATAATTTAATTGAAGATTTCATATTTAGATTAAAGTTAATGCCCTATCTCCTTCATTCTCTGTTTTCACTGTTACAATTACCTTTTATGTTAGGTTTTTCTATTTGATGTTAACTATTCGGCATAAAAAATTTGATATTTTTTTAAATTAAAATTAACTTTTTCACTTCGAATTTTATATGTTTGAAAGTAAAATTTGTTTTATTTTTTTTAATTTTATTTTTCTTTGTACAAAGATTTTTTTTAATATGAAGATAATAATATAGTAATTTTTTTTAGTGTTTTTTTGTCACACTTATTTATAATAACATTTATTTTTAATTTTGAATGTTTTTTTATTAAATTGAATTATTTGGTTATCTATTATAGAGGTTAATATTTTGTATTTCTATATTTTTATTAAAATTGAAGTTGTAATTATTTTTTATTCTGCATAATGCTTGTATCAATTGCATTTTTTTTTTAAAAAACATCAAAAGAAGAATATGAAGCTTCCCAAAACATAATGTAATTGAGAACAAAGTATATTCTCTTCTTGCATGGAGCAAGTGAAGGCTAGGAATAAGAGTACCTATTCATAATAACTTATAATTAAAAAAAAAAAAGAAAAAATCTCTAATAAACAATAATAAAGTTTTATTATTAAAAAATTATAATATTTATTTTTAATTTTAAGAAAGAAACAATAATATTCTCTTAAAAAAAAACACAATTATTATACAATATATAGAAAAGAAGAAGGAAGTGATTAAGTTTAAAAGGAAACATTATATTTATTTTATAATAAATAAAAATAAACATCAATATATAATTTTTTTTTATATAAGACCTCTTTATTTCTTAAATTTTCACCTGAACAATATGGTTCCTATAAACTTAGTTATTCAATGAGTTAAAGAAATTTTAACATAAATTTATGTGGAATGGTACGATAACTAACTTAAGTTTACATCATATATTTATTACATTCAACATATAAAATTATATTAATTAGTTACTTTAATATAAATTTACATTGGAGCTTAAGCAATTATAAAAAAATTTAAAATAACATATATAAAAAAACTCTTATATAATTAATATTTATACCATAAAGTATATATAAATTAGTTAGTATATATAAATTAGTTGTGAAAAAAAATATGTTCATTTTTTTTATAAATTAATTTGTATGCAAATTAATATAAGATTATAACACCTAAAAGGAGAAAATTGGTGAGGTCAACCGTACTAGTGCAGAATGAATATTTTGCGTCGTATATTTTGGACTTTTTACGTCGTATATAAGATTGACGTTAAAACGAGAGACGTAACTTTACGTCGGTCTTTTCGTCTTGACGTAAATTCACATCAGTTATTGAGACTCAACGTTAATATACGTTGTATATACAACTAAACAGACGTAAAAAATTTCGTAAATTTAAAAAACTGGATGAAATTTACGTCACATATATCAATATGCGACGTAAATTTACGTCGCATATTGATATATGCAACGTAAATTTACGCTTTTTTTTTTTAAATATTGGGTTTATTTTGTCTTACAACCAAAACTTGCAACCATATATTATAACCAGACAGTCCAGAGGTTCAAGTTTTTTTAGCTAGTAAATAATAAATACAATATTATATATAATTCAAACTACAAAAGTTAAATTAATACACCATGATAGGTACAAAAACTACCTAAACTACATAATAAAATAATATAATACAAACAATAACCTACAAACTAAATTCTATTACAAACTAAAAGTTAGTACGAACTAAGCTACCTAAACTATATAATATACACAATATAATATCAACAATAACCTACAAACTAAGTACTAAATTGCTGAACGAAAAACTTCGTCCATTGTTCTCTAATTTGTGTGATATCATATTCTACCAATGAAGATGGATCTTGAAATACCTAAAATATTAATTTGACTCTTGTAAACATGCAATACGCATAAAGTTAAATAAACTTAACTAATGTTAAAAGCAATTGCCTCTGTTCAAGAATAAGTTATACCCGCACAAATTATAGCTCTCATCCAATACATAACATAGTAACCACATTCAAATGAGTTCGTTTGCTTATTACACTGAAATGATGAATAAAATATAATGTTATTTTCAAAATTTAAATACAAACAATAATTATGGTGTTCACTTATATAAATAAGTTTCTAACCTTAGGATAAATGAACTGCAAACTCTTTATTCTGGGTCTTCTACTTAGAACATTAGTTCCAGTACACGATCTTAATTGAAAAAAGTCATATATTATTTAATATGTATGTACACTTTAAAAAAATAATTAATGAATAAAAGATAAAGTTACCCTTGTAACAAGCCTTTCATTTCTTGACTCGATTTCCGGTGCAATGAACAAAATCACACCATAGTGTAATCCTGGGGCATGATTACAATTAACTGCCAATGAGACCTACGTTATATGACATAAAAATTAGTTATAAAAATACAAATTAACATGATGACAAAAATACAAATTAAAATACTAACCCTTCAATGTATGGAGTCAAATATATATGTCTTTGTGAGGCACTCATCCATGTTTGCATATATTGTTGGATTCCAACCTTTGTATTTTCAGATTTTTGGATGGATTAAGGTTAAATAAATCCATATACTTTATATTTTTCTTGTTACACACTCAATTTGTCAATGTACCTAAAACAATAAATTATAAGTTGAATATAATTATTATAATCTTAGAAACATAAATGAAAATGACTTACATTGCCCACAATTATATGATGAAAATGTTTAATATGCAGTTTCTCCCAAGCAATTTCTAATGCATCGGGCAAGTTAATGTATAATGAAACAGAAGAATTGTCAATTCCAAACACTCTAGTCTCCCATTGTATCCGACACGGTTTCTTCCTCAACCGTGGTAATATGGCCGTCAACAACGTAGATATGGGATTATCATCACATTCTGTCATGTTCTCATCAATGACAGGTTGTTTCTTATGCTTAGTACGACACAAGTCCTCCAAAACAAATGATAACAATTAATTAAACATTAATATAATTATAAGACTACAAAAGAGAAAATGGACAATATATATATATATATATATATATATATATATATATATATATATATATATATACCTTGATACATGTACTTGATAGTGTCATGCTTGCCTGCCCCACTAAACCAAGAATGTCCTGCTTGCCTGCCCCACTAATTGAATCTCTTCATTAGGAAAAGACACTGGAGCATCAACATCATGAACTTCATTAACTACTACCCGTGTCCAATCTGCCTATAAAGAGACACCATGGATGGTTAAGCCACCCTAAAAAACTTGACCAATAGCCACTAGATGGGGAGTCATCTTCAACATATAATTCACACTGGTGTGGTGCATCAGTTTGAGTATATTCCCCTGAAGGATCAGCAGCAGCACAAATCCCTTTAGTGCTGACTCGAACAACATCATGTTCAATTCTCTAAGGTGTTCTTTGAGTCTGTTGCTGAGAGCGGGCGAGAGGTACAAGTTTCTCATCAAACTCTTGCTCCAAGGATTGCCTTATTTGATTTAACTTCTCTTCAAATTGCATCTCCATTTTATGCAAGACCTCCTGGCTGTAAGAGTTGGTAGTGGTCCTTCGTGATGTTGGACCAAAGTAATCACGAAAGCCCCAGGATCCACCAGTATCACGCACACGTCCTGAGTAATATGGTTTTCCTATGACTGTTGCCAATATGTCTTGTCGACCATGAGGAATAAATGATCCTTGAGTGGTCTGCCCAACTAAATCATCCTATAACACATTAACAATAACTAAGTCATACAATAACTTTCACATCAGAATCAATTTAAATTAAC